TCATATTTCTGGCCGGGATCGGTGCGACTGAGAACAAAGTAAGGAATACTTGATATGGCTGCTGTGACTTTCATTGCATTTTCCAACTCTTTTCTCGTTTGAATGTACATGTAACGAAATGCCTGAGAAAGAAATATTTTTAACAACAGGTTTTTATTAGAAAATTATATCTATTTTAATCCTCTTCGTTTGTCTCACAGTGACCAAAATGTTTATCCATCCGGTATAACCAGTCTGGATTTCGCTTCTTTGCCAACGAACGTTTTTTTTACTTAACCACAGCGGCGGCTAACTGATCATGAAATGATTCTTCTTTCCAGAAAGCGTGTGTTCTGGTAGCAGCCCTTGAGCAGTACTTTTTGTTCGCCGCTTTCTGTTGGATGTTCATCGAAGGGGTTTACCTTTACTTATTTGTTGTAAAAGTTTACAATGTTTCAAGCAAGTTGAAGATATGCCACGGAGTTGCATGGAGTAAGATAAAATTTCAGCTAACTAAACAGCGTAACACTTTAAAAAATACTGACAACCTTTACCTAGGGCTCCTTCCCAGTTTTAGTAGCTGTAAATAACAGGATAATTTAATTCCCTCTACTTTAATGTACGTGGAAGCTAGACCGTTGCGGGTAAAACCCGAACAATTTGAGGGAATAAAGGTTAAATGTGAGCCGTCTTACTGAGCGGAAAATCCGGCAGTATCTTTTCCAGGAGTTGATCTCAAACCTCTTGAACCACTAGGGAACGTTTATCCCTGATCAGTTCTTTAAAACTATTTGTCCTGAATAAGGTTCATTAAGACGGGGGTGTGTGTTTTTGACTTTCTATCACAGGTTTTTCTGCACTTGTGGTCGCCTTATCCCTGAGCATTACAGCAAGCAAAGATGGAATTGAGTGTTTCGTCAGTGAAAAACTGTAAGTACATATAAATATATTACCAAAAGGACGTACAGACAGCAGAGTGACAATAACTCTCAAAAAAGAAACAACTTTGATTTGAAATTGACAAGACATGTTTCGACGTTCTCATGTCATCTTCAGTTGCAAATGAGCATTTCACCGTTGTACATTTGAATTTATATCAAGGTACGTTACAAATTACATGTCAGGGCTTACGTTACATTTGAATGTTAAAAACGCGAAAAATGTAAATAGCGCGCGCTTGACTAGATCAAAAAAATAAATAAATAGATAAAATAAATAAAATAAATAAAGAGAATAATAATGATATTAAAATAAAAGACCAAGGAACAACTTAATTAAAAGAAAAAAGACAATTCTAGAGGTTTCAATTGCTGATTAAGAGTGGGTATTTCCCGCTTAATATACAATGCCTCTTCGATCTTAATTTGGTATTTTGAAGCGTCAGAATCTAAGATCGTGAAACATTCAGTATCACAGGAGTCAAGACAGGCTCTTGATGATTGCAGGTGCTTGTAAATATGCGAAGTTTTGTCCGACAAGAGTTTTGTACACGAACTCGTGTACAAATGTGGCGAGTGGTCTCACCAATATAACTGACATTACAGCCAGCACACGAAAATTTATATACGACACGCGAAAGCAGGCCCAGCGGAACTGAGTCTTTCACAGTTAACATGTTTCTGAGTTTAAACGTACTGAAGACACACCTAACATCTAAATCAGCTCTACAATAACGTTTGAGTAGTTGTCTTAACTTAGTCTGAGCGATGTTCGAAAACCGACCAACATAGGGAAGTTTATAATAGTGCGAAGAGGGTTTAGCGTAGTTAGAAGAGGCGTTCTACCCAGTAGGAGAAGGATTACTTTTCTTCGCTAGATACCTGTAAATGATCTTGTGTATGATCCAAGATAGAAAACAATTTTTCCGTAGCAAGAAAATAAGTTTCTTGACATCCAGATGAACACCAACCCAGGAATTATTAATCTTATATACTATGTCAATCAATGTTCTGACTAAACCTAATTTGTAAATCAAAGGGGCGAAGCTGAAATAATTGGTAAGAAGACCAGTAAACGTCTTCTTGCGATATACACTGGTTACGATGGATGTATGATTGTTGTCTAACAATATGTCTAGAAACGATAATATCTTATCACTTTCCTTTTCCATTGTGAAACGAATACTAGGATACCTGGCGTTGATACAATCAAAGAACTCGAGTGCGTCCTCCTCGCTTTTGAACAAACAAAATGTGTCATCAACATAGCGTTTGTAGAACAGAACTTCAGAGAATGAATAGTTATCTAGCCAGTTTTTTTTCATGATGTCCCATAAAGAGGTTTGCAAGCACTGGAGCAAGTGGGGAGCCCATGGCAACCCCATCTATTTGATCATAAAACACACCCTTAAACAAGAAACCAGTATCAGCTGTTGCGAAGGTAAAAAGCGTTTTTTGGGTCAGCGGCGTTTATCTTAAGACCAGGGTTATCTTGATAAATGTATCTGATCGACAGATCAATGCATTCATCAAGAGGTATACTAGTGAACAAAACTCTCAACATCAAAAGATACTATGAACCTCCCTGAGGGAAGACAACAATCATACAAGAGGAGCTCTAATGAGAGTGACATAAGCAGTAACAAGATCGGTTGTGCTCACATTAGACATCTGAGAATACGGAGGATATAGAGTTGCTTGGAAGCTCTAGGCACAATGGAATCTATATGTGCATTTCAGTGAAGATCTGATTGAAGGGTTAAGTCAATAACCTTGTGGGAGAGAACAGAGTCAAGTGGCTTACCGTTAATGGTGGAAACTGGTAAAACTGGCTGTTCGTGGAAGAAACATATGCGCATAATCTTACATTTAGATGGATTTAGACTCATATTATTCTCGACAGCCCTCTGGTGAATTCTGTCCAAATCAGACTGCAGACAAGAGGACTGACCACGATTGAGTGTATGAGACGGGGCAATCTTTTCGACATACTTCTAACGATTACAGCCTAACTGGGTAGGAAAACCCAAATCGTTTAGCATTAAAAAAAAAGAGGATAGGCCATGATTTAGCCCCCTGAGGAACTCAAGCAGTGATGGGAAGCCACGATGAAATAATCAAAGACCTTGGTAAAGTTAAGGAAACTCCCATACAGGTATCGACTAGGCTTGTCAAGAGCTTTAAAACAATGGTGCAAGAGGTCGACAAGGCAGAGGGATGTTGAAGAGCCTTTTATAGAACCAAACTGACGAGGGTCAATTTTTTTGCAAATGTCTTCATACAGCCTTTTCACAGCAAAGTCTTCTTGGACTTTTGACAAAATAGGAGTGAGAGAAATAGGTCGAGGGTCGTTTTCAGACTGCACTGGACGAATTTTCGGAATAGGTGATCCAAACGATTGTTTTTACAACTCTGGAAACAAACCAGCCTCAAATGAGCGGTAGAACAACTCAGTAATAGGATATGCTAGCTTGTTAGAGAATTCTCTCAATGCTCGGTAAAGAATACCATCTGGACCAGCAGCTTTAAATACTAGTATTTGCCAACTTAGGCTTTACTTCATAAACAGAAATCACAGGAAGCTGTTATGGTGCAGGGAGGAAAGCAGAAAAGCGTACAACATTCTGCTATTCGATAAGACTTTTTGTCTATCTTCCTTATAAAAGGACTCTAGAATAGGCTTTGAAACTCTTAATAATGTGTCTGTCCGATCTTTTTAAATGTGCCATTAATTTAATTAATTGTTTTTGTTTTTTTTTTCTTTTAATTTGTTTTGCTTTTTGTCTGTCAAGTTGCTGGCTTTCTAGCGAAAACGGTCTGATCTGGATTTTCACTGTCTTCGTTTTACTGATTGGATTGGTGAGTATATCGTATAGCAACTTCCTAAATATTTACCACTGACATGATTTTGAACATCTATTGATCCTAGCTTTGCAAGTGAATGCCTCTCAAGATGAAGGTGGTAACAGTAGCAGTGATGCAAATGGCATCGACGACAATGAAAAAAGTGGAATTAGGGCAGCAAGTGATAAAAAAAAGCAATTTGGTTATATCAACTAAGTTGAAATTGTAAGTTGGCCACCATAACAAATAAAAAAGCTGACGTTGGGCAATTTATAATTTAAACTTAGTTGATATAACCAAATTACATTGTTACCCCACCGACGCAGCACCACAGTTTCTTTATAAACTTTTAGCCTTTATTCACTTCATAAAAAAAAAAAAAAAAAAGCATTGAACTCTTCTCTTCCATATCTCGAACGTCGGTATTACCTCGTTATAGTAGCTATTTTTGTTTCCTTTTTCTAGCTTAACGTTATGATCCTTTTACGAGTTATCAAGGAGATGACGACAATGCATCAAACAAAGGACAGCCAATCTGAAAAAATCAGGTAGATAGCAAAGGGCTAGTTCAATATACGATGTCTATCCCAAACTGCGGTTTTACGCGATCAGTGGTTGATTTAACGAAATAAATATCATTCCGCTGTAAGCTTTCAGCCCTCTTGACACTGCTCACAAAAATTAATGAATAGATAAAAGGTTCGGCTAGATTGAAGATGGCTTAAAACGAGGTATTGTTAAAAAATTACTAAAATCTGTTTCAAAACTGGCCCTAAGTCTTTTTCCCGACCGAAACGAAAGAGGAATATCCAAGTTCTACCAAATAATCTTTTTACAAGAAAAAAAGTAATGTGTGCTTGGTGATTTAAAGTCGAGAAATATAAACATTCTTTTGCAGGCTTGGCATAAGAGCATGCTTGGTAATGATTCCTCTCTTGGGTGTCACGTGGCTATTTGGTGTTCTATCTTCAGTACACAAAGCTTTTGCTTATATTTTCACGATTTTCAACTCAACTCAGGTAAGTTTGGAAATAAATTTATATTTGTCTGTTGTTAGGCACGGTGAGGAAAAACAAAAACTTAATTCAGTGCTTATCTCTCAACAGGGCTTCATGATTTTCTTCCTGCACTGCGTGAGAAACACGGAGGTACATTTTTATTGTTTCATTTCAAGCTTTCATTGTCGCTAAGTTACCTTCATTTTAATTTTTCCCCCTCGATAGATGGGCCTTCATTCATTCTTAAATCATCTTATGGCCAGAGCCTGTTTCTGGGAATAGCAGCGATTATTAATTACTCAGGAGTTTCAAAATTTCTGATCCTTGACGTTAAACTGAAAAGAGAACAAGGAAATTTGGTAATATCAACTAAGTTAAAATTGTACATTTGCCTAGTAAAGAGTTAAAAGACTGACGTTTCGAGCGGTAGCCATTCGTCAGAGTGTTCGCCATTCGCTCTGACGAAAGGCTAACGCTCGAAACTTCGTCTCTTTAGCCCTTTACAGTGGCCAATTTACAATTTCAACTTAGTTGATGTAACCGAGTGAATTACCTTTTTACCCCCACTAACGCAGCACCACAGTTTCTTTAGAGACCTACCCCTTTTACTGAAAATAGAACAGTTCCTGGAGGATCAATTTTCATCTCTTATTCTTTTAACTTCACTGAACTCTTTCCTGTTCAAACTCTTTAGAGCATAAAACGAGAAACATGAAGTTTGTTTCCAATATTTTGTTTTGTTTTGTTTTGTTTTTCATCCTGTAGATAAGAAGTCGTTTCAAAAGAAAGCTCCACTCCATTTTCCCATTGGCAGACAATGGAACCAATATCAAAAGAAGCTCTGAAGGAAATGAAACTGCCAGCGGCAATATCTCCATAAAGAAGACTATAGCTAAACATAGCGTTGTGACCGAAAGAAGAAATGACGGCTCAGAGAAAACTTCTTGCCTATAATTTTTTATGCATATACTCAAATATGACACTGGCTAGTTTATAATTGGCAGGAAAGGAAGATTCCCCAAATTTTCTCAATAAATCATGATCAACAGAAGCAAAGATTTAATGGCAAATGAATACAATACGAAAACGCTACACCTTAGGAAAGGAAATACGACTTGCTTATTGTACCAGCAGGGGGATGTTGACCACCCTAGATCAACCAATTTTGGTTGCAAGAGTCGCGTGTGTAATTGGTGACCATGCCAATTGTAGTGTTAATTATTTCCTTTGAATAATTAAGGAGCAACGCATCCCTTTATTATAAAATTATTTTGGACGAATACCCAGAGTGCGACACTTTGGCATATTGAGGAGACTAAAAGGATTAAAATCATTCGTATTCTGCTAAATAATAATTTGAAAAATGATAATGATGTAATGTAACGATAGGCATTTAAGTTATCGAGTTTTTATGCTAGTGTTAAAAATTAAATAAAATTTAACGTAGAAAATGAGATTTTTCTAACTTCAGCAAAGCGTAAAGGCTACCAGTTCTCATTCAGTAAGTCTTAAGCAGTTGTTATTAGATCATAATTGTAGCTAGTGTTAAACTGTAACCGCCACCTGTCATGACCTTTTGTGTAGTTGTTATCCACTAGAGCTTTTCCAAAATCTCCTAAAAGGAGAAATTCCTGCCTAGCAGTTGTAGTATATTACGTGATCCTTTAGATAATTTGTGGCATAACCTAATCCTTTGTACTTTAGGCTTAAATAGAGCTGTTTTGCAAGGCTTTCTTTGGCCAAGCCAGTTCTGGCCAGGACACACTCACTCAGGTCAAGCCAGGTTAGACTCAGTTTGGTAAAAAACCAGTCAGTTTAGTAGTGTTTACAGAACAAATCTATGCTGAAGCCAACTTTGTTGTTGTTAGTCACCGTCTCAAGGATAGTCAACAGCCGTAATAGATCCCGGCCCTCCCGAAGCCAGCGAGTGTCCCCCGAAAAGCGTTTTCCTAGAGGAAGTTTATCGAGTTGTTCCTCCATCTGTCCGTTTATTTGTGAAAGCAAAAACCTGTTTTCACTGTAATAGAGAACTTACTAAAGGAGTACTTCGCTTTTTACGAATATTCTAATGTGTTGTAATTATGGTTCGCATCTTTCTACTTCAACCATTAATATTACACTGAAGAACAGCGCAAAATGGCAAAAACGTTTCTGTCTGATTGAGGTGGGAAGTATTTGCATTTTATATAACAGAACTGCTTCATGCGCTGCTGCTCAATGAAAATTGAGGATTTTACTTTGAAAACACGAAGCTAAGGTGCTTCTTTTCCACACTACAATATGCGAGAATTCTGCATTCATCGTATGAGTTTATGACTGAGGGGCTCGCAGATGTTGTATGACGTTGATAAAAGAGCTAGCAATGATAATTATCGCATCCGACACTCCGTCTTTATTTCTCCTTTACTCGTTTTCGTCTTTGTACATGGCGTAATACTTGTCATTTTCTCGGCATCGCGAAATGCTTTTCCTTTTTTTTTCCACTTTCGTTCCAAAACTGTAGAATCTTAAACCTTATTTGTATGTTTTTCTAATAACCTTCAGCTGTTATTTCTATTCCTGTCGGTAAAATAATAAAGCATTGTGACAAACATCATCCGCTATCAGCTCAGCTATTGCTAATTGCTAATTTCTAATTGCTAATTGCTAAGGTCAGCGGTCGCAATGGCGGCCGGTCGTGTTTCTGCCTGTTCCGCATTTTTAAAATGTTTCTCGTTGTTTCTTAATATAGCAAAAAATTGTCGTACGTTAAAAGGCTGCTGGAACGTTCCTCCTACCCATAGGACTGTTTACATCGGGTTTTTATGCGGCCTTCAACGTCGCTTACACGGTTTAAAACACAGTTGCTCTCAACCACGTGGAAGAAGGTATCTGCTTTCTCGTATCTCACTTTACCCAAATGCGGATACAGGTTTTGTTTTGGAAAGAATTGCAATTAGCGGCGATGTTACTGTCAGTCCGGGTCCAGGCACTATAAATAACAGCCACTGCATAGCCAACATCAGCAGAATGAGTTTTAAAGAGAGAAAATACCCAAGTAGATGGAAAGTTGGCAAAGTCAAAACTGTCTATAAAAGCTGTGCGAAGGAGGAATGTGGCAATTATAAACCCTTAACAATGCTAAGTATTCCTAGTAAAATTACCAAGTCAGTTATATGTGAGTTCTTTGATCAACATTTAGAATTAGTCCTACAAGAGAACCAGTGGGGCTATAGAAAGGGCCTTTCATCTGATACATTGTTGCTGTACTTGACGGAAAAGTAGAAACTCTCCATTGACATTGGTAAAGTGATAAGTACCATATTTACTGACTTCCGCAAGACTTTCCACTCAGTGGACCACAATATCCTTGGCTACAAAATGCAAGCCTGCGGTAGAAGCGCAAACCTTCTAAAGTGGTTATCAAGCTACTTAACAAATCTCCATCAATTTGTTGAAATAAATAGTATTAAGATCCTGGAGTTGGGAGAGGAGAAAGTTTCCCACGAGTTCACATGTTTCGGCGCCGTCGTAGCTTCCCATTGTTACGTCGAACGTTGTATTACCTTTCTTTTGCCAGGGTATGTGCTTGTGGATTAAGATGGAGTTTTTAGCGTGGATTATAATGTTTCTTTCGTCGGTGGTAATGATGTCATAGTTGGAGGCGAAGTCGAGTGCTTTGTTCAGGAGGTCTTGGCTGATGGATGGATAGAACTCTTCAATGTCAAAACAGATGAAGCTGAAGTGTTGTTTGTTTTCGATAGATTTGAACCAGTTGATTACGG